TCGACCATACCTAATTATTGCACAAATTACGCCTTCTTCAAATTTTGAAGTAATTTTGCCTTTCAAGAAACAATAATCTATTGACTCTGAATTTTGCTGAATGGCCAATGCTTAGCATATGATGCTAAGCAATTACACAAGAAAGAAACAAGGGCATATAGCCAGGACCCCCCTTTCATGGGAACAAAAAAAGGCATATTAGGTGATTTCAAAAAAATTAATGCAGCTTTTATATTTTTATATTTTCGTAAGCATAAAGCATAAGGCCTGTTATCTTTTGGTTTGGCATTTTGGGTTCGCAAACAAAATGGTGGATTTTTTWAAATTTGGGGACCCCTTTTGGAAAATCCCTGAGAAATGTAAGCATCTTATGAGGTGTAGGCAATGTGTAACTCAAAACCAGCCTCAAAACCAGCCAAATCTCTTGAACATAAATACACTAAGGCTTATCAATGCTTTGACATGTCCTTATAAACGTTTGGTGGCCTTTTTGTGCATAGTACACATGCAATGACTAAAGTGTGGTTCAAAATCAGAGAACAAAATGTCCTGAATGTCATGAATCACTTAACATACATACATACATAATACTTGTACAGATCAAAGGTCATAACTGAGCTCACTTTCCTCTCTGATAGCAGACATAGGACAATAGTACCCTTTTTCACCAACCATTTCATAAAGAATCAATGTATATACAGTAACACTGCTCTTCAATGATTTTTAGTGGTTTTAATTTATCAATTCAATCTGAAAGTGCTGGGGTTATAACTAGCCAACACCACAATGAACACCAACACAGATATCTAGGGTATATACAGTAGTCCTCAAATTCTCATGTGTAATATTCAAAAGTCAGACTTTTAAGGAGACTCCTTAGTTCTTGTATCTTTGCACAGACTGAAGTCCAAATATCTTTTACAGGTTATATATATATGTATATATAAATGTTATTTTTCAACTTTCTTTTTAGATTTGATGGACAGTTATTTTTTGTGTATGATCGTGAAGCAGTAACAAAGGAAGGAGACCCACCTGAAGATGCTATTATCTACTTCTATCCACCATYGGTAAGAACATTTCACTTTCTTTAGTGATAAATAACTGAAACTGTTTACAATCTGTTCATGATTTTAGTCCTCTGTCGCAGTAATAAAGACACTATTTAGTACAACTATAATTACATGTACTAGCTTGTTGGTACCTCTAAACATTTTAAATGAAGTATTGTTTTACGAAATTTTTGAAATATATACTGTACATGTACACTGTAGGAGAAGATACACTGTAATGAACTAGTGGAGCCTGAGAAGTAGTTTTAAAAGCTGGAGAATCTTGCTTAGTTACTACTGCATTCTCCAATTTCTGACCCTAAATGGGAACCCTGATATTGATAAAATATACCAGTAGATGTTTGGCTACAGTTTATCTTTATTCTGTAGCAAATGCCTGTCAGGTTTAAAATTCATTCCAAAGCATTCAGTACACAAGGTTTCATATTTGTCATTAGTATTTATAGTCCTATACATGTACATCAAACTCTTTATTATTTCTCTTGAAATATACTCTTTAGCTAGCCATGGTTACACTTCTGATAGCTTAGTGATGTAGTATTTTGACTATTGCATAACATAGTCTTACATAATACCTAGCTTTATTTACATACATGTAGGGGCTCTTTGATTGTACATGTCATACAACACATACATGTAATCCATCTGTATGCTTGTTGTGGTTAACTCAACAGTCAAGTTACTTTATTCTTAACTGTACACTTAATTAATTCTTTTTTGTAAACTTTATCTGATCTTTTTTTTCCTTTAGTTTTTAGCATAACTTTCAAGCTCTTTATTTTTATTTTTTTGAATAAACTCTTTAGCTAGCCATTGATTTACTTGTGATAGCTCAGGGATGTAGTATGTTGACTATTATATAACATAGTGTTACATAATACCTAGTTTTATTTACATAGGGGCTTAATTACAGGCCTTTGATTGTACACAGGTCATACAACACATAACGTATCTGTCTGCTTGTTCTGGTGAATATTCAAAAGTTAACTTTATCCTTCACTTGTACACTTAATTAATTCATGTTTGCAATCTTTATCAGTTCTTTTTTCTCTTTTCATTTAAGGCATGACTTCTATAAATAGAAGATATTTGTGCACAATAACCTCAGGTTTCGAGTTTCAAGTCTGATTATACTCAGAGATCATATTTATTAATTTGTTTTTGATGTTTATGGCTTCGAATAGACCTTTGGCAGGATTTGTTTGGTTTATTAAAAGTTATTAAACTTATTTCTTTGATATTTATGTTATTTAATTGTAGCAAAACAAAAATACCAGAAAAATGAAAATGTTACATAATCCTTTAAGTCATTATTAATGATTAACCCATGTTTTCGGACCTTAGAGCCCTTTACTCCAATAATCAATAAATTCATTTTAATGAATTCAGGCCAAAGTTTCTTAGGGAGGTTTGTACAGTACATTGGATATGGCAAACCCACTTGAAATCACTCAGTATTTTTCAATTGTAGTATATTTTTGATATATAATATTGGGTAACTTTCCAGAAATTGTTTGTCCCTCCCCTACCACAGAGGAATTTGGAATTTCTGATTGTTGGGGATCCAGAGAAAGAATGAAACAACAGAGTTTGCATGGGAAAATTGGGTAAGGGGGGGAGGGGGGGGGGTGTTAAAAAATCCTCTGCATGGGGAGTTTTATTGAAAATTATCAATTGTATTTTTTGGGAATGATACTTGTAAATTATCAAAAAAATATCTGCATGTATTTTGTAACTAAATTTTTTTTGATTTTTGTTATAATGTTTTTTTCTGGACCAGTTAATCTATAGTCAATTTTATAAAATTAGTCCCCATACTGTATGTATCTCATAAGGCTAGTTGTTTTCTTATTTTCAGGCATCTATTGAGAGCAGGGTCAGTATTTGTGGACAGCTGGTTGGAGTGAGCAATTTCCTGACTACAGTGCTTGACTTTGCACCTGTGCTTATTAAACTGAAAACAGAAAAAGTTGCATTATTGCAGTCTGGCAAATACACTTTGGTAATTGAGAATTGCTTCCTTGCTTGCTTGCTTCCT